AGGCGTTCGCGCAAAGCAAGATGGACGTTTCCCGGCTTTGAGTGAACGCCTGCTCTACGAGTTGTCAAAAACAAATCCCGTTGGGAGAAACATGCCACGGACACCGTAAATTGTGGTCCGGAAGGCTTCTCAAACTGCATTTAGGCACGGGAAAACGTCTTCCCGGCGGCAGTTTTGGAATGTAAAGTCATTCGGCGGCGGGGGAAATGATATCCTGTACTTGGCAAACACTGCCAAGCTGTCAAGTGCTGATGGCCTCCCCATCTGATCGAAGGAAGTCTAGAGCGACTTTGGAGACGCCGTGTCCTGTTAAAGTCACCAAACGGTAATCTCGAAAGAGAGGAGGAGGTCTTGAACCATTCACCTTTGGTTTGCCTGCAACAATATCCTGGCACGTCTCTCTCTCTCTTTCCACGGAAGAATGAATGCAGGATGGTCATTCATCCGCCAACAACAACAACAACATTTTCGTAAGCACCCAAGGAGCCACACATTGGGAGACCGCACATTTAAAACAACCAAGAAAGCCTTTCGGATTCAAGGTCAAACACCTTGAACAAAGATGAGTCCAGTTGCCCAGTTTGACTTGGATGACTCTCTACCCAGATATTTACCGGTAGTCGGGCCATAGCCTCGTCTAAAGGCAAAAAGTGCTCGGGTTGGGTCCCGATCGGTGTACTCACCCAGTGTCGCGGACTTCCTTCCGGAGAGCGAGCCTGGTACCTTTGAAGGGCCACCCCTCCGTCGCCCTCCAGAAGCAAGGTGCAGTCCAGGTCGGGGCAGTGGTGGCCGCTTATTGGCGGCCAGGCTAAGATGGTGGCCAGCGGGTAGTGGGAGATCATGCTGACCATTTGCCTCAGCCCTCCGGACGCCAGCGCATGCTCCAGCCTGGATGGAGTCCACAATGACAAATCAATTTTTGTTCTTTTTTTCACCGCGCTCCTCCCGTCTCCTGCTGCGCGTGGAAGTGGGCTTTTGCCAAGGCCGCTCAAGCGCGTGAGTGATTAGAAAACTCTTGTTGTCTCTCCTTTTTTTCCTTCCCCGCACCATTCATTACAGTCAGAGGGGAGGGGAGGAAAGAGGAGGAGGAGGAGGAGGAGGAGGAGGAGCCTTCACAAAACACTGGCGTGAACTTCTAGACAGGAAAGCTGAGATAGACAGCAGGATGTTGTGCTCGAGCTTCTATGAATCCAAAACAATTGAGGCACATTTTCCTTTTTCCACACTGACAAGAGGGAAACTTCATTAGCTACACGTTCACACTCTAATGAGAAAAATTTAACATTTCCCAAGTCTGGGTCAACTCAAGTGAGATAGAAATGTCTCTAAAATCTTTAAAATGTGGAGAGAATCATCATTTTATTGAAAAGAAACAATTTGGGCCGCATCATTGTACTTGTCAGCATTCGCACAACAAACACCACCCAAAAGGATCGTGATTATCTTTGTAGAGGCACTTTATTGATTTTTTTTTTTAAATATAGTTCTGCTGCTTGCTTGCAACACCGTACATTTCGCAGGTGTACTTAATAAAGTGACCCATAGCTGTCTTAGAAGCACACAATGAAGTGACACTTAGTGTGCAAAGGCCAAACCACCACCAACCTGATCAATGTGTAACATTTTCTACCGTGTGTGTGTGTGTGTGTGTGTGTGTGTGTGTGTGTGTGTGTGTGTGTGATCAAGACTCGCACAAGTCATGTGTAAAACACGGCCCGTCGAGAGGATTACAGCGGAGCTGGTGCACACAACGCTGGTGGAATCAGCAGTTAATGTTGTACGGCGCGCTTGTCACACTTTGAAAGCTGCTTCCGACTGTCAGACTTTGCATCCTGTTGTTTTTAGAGTAAATAAACAACCCATGGTGTAGGATGTTGTGCTCGAGCTTCTACGAATCCAAAACAATTGAGGCACATTTTCCTTTTTCCACACTGACAAGAGGGAAACTTCATTAGCTACACGTTGACAATCTAATGAGGAAAATTCAACATTTCCCAAGTCTGGGTCAACTCAAGTGAGATCGAAATGTCTCTAAAATCTTTAGAATGTGGAGAGAATCATTATTTTATTGAAAAGAAACAATTTGGGCCGCATTATTGTGTTTGCCAGCATTCGCACAACGAACACAACCAAAAGGATCGGGATTATCTTTGTTCAGGCACTTTATTGATTTATTTTTTTTCATACGTATAGTTCTGCTGCTTGCTTGCAACACCGTACATTTCGCAGGTGTACTTAATAAAGTGACCCATAGCTGTCTTAGAAGCACACAATGAAGTGACACTTAGTGTGCAAAGGCCAAACCACCACCAACCTGATCAATGTGTAACATTTTCTACCGTGTGTGTGTGTGTGTGTGTGTGTGTGTGTGTGTGTGTGTGTGTGTGTGCTAGACACTCGCACAAGTCATGTAAA